GATCACACCACACTGCCCCAGATAGTCCTAGTTTTCAGGTCTCGTGAAGATAGCTGTGGCCTCTGTAAACTCTACTCTCAATCTACTATCTCAGGGCTGTCTGTTCTACCGTGACCCAGCATCTCTGAAGCTGACTGCCTGGTAAATGAGCTGTCAGATTTAAAAAAATAGGATTTTCCAGTGAGATGTTCTGTATCCCACTGCAGTCCAGAAAGCTTCCCACCATTTCTCAGTATACAGTACTATGAAGAAGATATATTCCTGGTGCACATCAAAAGGATACAGAGCAGGATCACCACTGGTCAACTTGCTCCTAGAATTTCTGCAAGCTGGACTGTCTCTGGGGCTACAATACAAGTCAGTCAAAACTCAACTGTCATTTATATCCTCAGTTCTGGCAGCCAAGGGTCAACCTCCCTGTCCAATTGCCCACATGTTAAAATTCCTCCAAGGTACCCGCCCAATCAGGCTTCTTCCTATTCATGGGGTAGCTCCATGGGATTGTTTCCTAATATTAAATATGCTCCTGGCTCCACTTTTCGAACTCCTGTCTGAAGTGTCACTAATATTTCCTAACAATTAAAGTCACTTTTCTAGTGGTCATAAAACCAGCTCAAAGGAGATCAGAATGGGGCACCCTCTCTATCCTCCCTCAAAATTTGTGTGTTTTTCCCTCCACAATGACAGGGTGGTGTTTTGGACAGACCCTTCATGCATCCCCAAGTTTCTGTGTAGGGGGATGAGTCCATAAATTCATCCCACCTGTACTTTTTCATCTCCTCTTACTGGGAGTTGTGTTTTCAATTGTATTTATCCCCCCACCTTCTTTTAGGGAGACCTGGTAGATAACTGTGTTCTTACATTTAACTGCTGACTGGGTTATCCCAGTTTATATGTCTTTGTCAGTGTGACAATCAAAGTCCAGACACCCCAAAGGGAGAACAGAAGGTTTAAGCTCTTCCCCCCCCACCCCAAAAAAAAACAGTTAAACCAACTGATGGCATATTATATTATTTTATCATAAGGTTATATAAAGATCTTTTATGAAAGCTTGTAATACACTGAACTTAATAATCCATTATGATACACGCATACACAGGCTGTGGAGAGGAAGGTGTTTCACGGCCTGGTTGTGAGGTGATGCTGAAGTTGCATCACAGTTACAATGACAATTTTCTGTATATATACACAATCAGGCAGGGAAGGGCTACCTCCCCAATAAGACAAGACTGGCTTCAAGCACCCAGCCATTGTCTAGGCTAGGCAAGGGAAAAAAACAATGAGGAATCATCAAAGCAAATAGGAACAGTTTGAAACTGAAAAGAAAACCCTAGTGTTAAGAAACATAGGCCTCCTCTATACTACAGGGGAAAATAGATCTAAGTTACGCAATTTGAGTTACATGAATAGCGTAACTCAAATCGACGTAGCTTAGATCTACTTGCTGCGGGGTCCACACTACGCTATGTCAATGGGAGATGATCTCCCGTGGACTCCCCCTACTCTTCTCGATCCGGTGGAGTACAGGAGTCGATGGGAGAGCGATCTCCAGTTGATTTAGTGGGTCTTCACTAGACCCGCTAAATCGACCGCCGATGCATCAATCGCCACTCGTGGATCCCCCGGTAAGTGTAGACAAGCCCTAAGAAGGGAGGGAGTTTTCCCCACTTTGAATATCTGGGACGGAAGGAAAAAAACTGCAAATCTTATTAAAATGGAAGGGGTTTGAACTGAAGACCATCCAGTCCCTGGGGAACAGTCTCAAGGCAGGATGCAGTCTGTGAATGCTGGATTCCCTCCTATAGCCAGGGGGTACACTGATAAACTGTTTTAAAGCAATGGGTAATTCTTATTAGAAAAAGGATTTTATCTAATATGAAAGTATAAAGCCTGAGGTTGTCTGTTTTCTGTATAACTTGTATGTGTTTGCTTTCCATTACTGATTTATCTTTGAATCTGTGACTTTTTTTTTCTATTACATAGACTTCTGGTTTATTTTTATCCCTAGTAGTTGTCTGGTGTGTAAAGTGTGTGCGCCAAAGTGAGCTGGTGTATGAGGGAAGGGTTTCACACCTTTGGGGAACAGTCTAAATGTTTGGTAATTACATCCTCCCCGAGTTTTTATTTGAGTACTGGAAGTGGTGTTGGAGTAACGAGGCTGGTGAGATCTTATGCTTGTGGGAAGACTATAGATGTCAGGGAATTGAACCAAAAAAGGCCCCCAAAGTTACATGCCAGGTGGTGACAGAACCCCTTACTGGTCTGGGTGGACCCCAAAACATCACTTTCAAGTTGAACACTTCTATTTCCTAGTTGTTGGGCAGATTTGAGCTATTGCTAATGTTTTTGAAAGACTTGCTTTCAAAGCTGATAACTGTCATGTGTGAATGAAACTCTCTGGAGGAGCTTTTCAGTGAGAGGAGTAATATGGATAGTCAGCCCAGCCTGTCAAAAACATCTCTCTGCCTCCGCCGCCTACCGTGTAGGTGACTGAAAAATCCATTACTGCTGAATGTATGGACCCATTCCCCTACCCAGAATGAAAGGTTCTCTCACTTAACCAGAAGTTTTCTCACTTCTAGCTGGCAAAAATTCCATATGTGATAGGCAGGGCATTAGTTGTTGCAAACTCTGATACCCATATGCTTCATCTTTGGGAGAAACAGATGATGTGATCCTGATGAGAAAACAGCAGTCAAAAAGGGCAAAATGGCCTCTCTTGTAGCTCAGGGCTCTGTCATTCATGGCTCTGTAAAGAGCATCGAGCATCTTGAATTTCACCTGGAAGTGGATCAATAGCCAGTGCACGTTGTGGATCAAAGGTGTTTAAAAAAAAAAAAAAAATCTAAGAATTTGTTGAAATTTTGTCCTTTTTTTTTTTTTTTTAATTCTTGGTGGAAATTTTTCATTTTGGTCATTTTCCCAGTTTTTCAATGGAAAGCTGGAAAATATAAACAGATATCAAAAACTGAAATTTGACTAGAAATAAATATATTTTATTGAAATTTGTTACTGAAAAGTGATTTTCCTCCACCCCCCTTAAGTCATTTAAAAAACAGAACTATTTTTTGGTTTTTATTTAAAAAGAAAGTTCACAGGAAAATTTAAAAAAAAAAAAAATCCCAGAAATGTTCTAAATTTCCCATGAAAAATAATTGGCATTTTCTGACCACTTCTAGTAACAGGTTCTTGTCTTAGTTTGCCCCACCCAGAAGATGGATAGTACTGGCTAATGCAGAATGAGATTTCCAAGTAGCCCTCAAAGTTAGACTGGGGTAGTCAGTTTGGCAGTAATATAATCCAGAGTTTCTTATTGTCATGGTGAAATCCCTTTTGGAGATTGTCACAGGGTTTGGGGTGCAATCCAGACCTGTGAGGGGTTGTCACCATTTGCCCTGCAATCCTGCATGCCTTACAATGCTTTGCTTCTGTAGCCCCCAGCCTGGGACACTCACAACCAGTCTACAAGCATATAGGTCTCACACCCTGAAGTGCCTGCATTCTAGACAGCACTGGTATAGCAGCTCTGACCTCAGACAGCCCCACTCTGGCTTCCACCAGCCTTCACTACAACCAGCAAGGTGACCCCACCGCACTCCTAGTCCTGAATTTCCCCAAAGCCCTGTGGTCTGCCATGTCCCCTCCTGGACAGTTCAGAGAAATATGGTTCATTTGTTCCTCTAAAGACACAAAAGCACATCACAGCTTATTAACTTCACCGGGGTAAATTCAATCTTCTCTTTAAACACAGCACTGAGTTGGTTTATAGTAAATATAAAAAAAATTTATTAATAGGACATAGGGTAAGTGATGCCAGGGAAAAGGGATAAAGTTACAAAGGGTTACCGATAAAACAAAAGTGAAAACACTCATCTAAAAGTATAAAGCTTAATCTAGCAAGGTACAGGCTTCGTTCAAGATGGCTTCTCACCTATATTTAGTTTCCAAAGACTGCATTTGGGAGAAATGATGTGTTTGCTCTGGATAATTCCAGCGGTGCATTCAGGAAGGGGCAACTAGATTTTGAGTGAATTAAATTAACCAAGCATGTGTTCTCCCCAGGCACATGGAAAGTTCATACCATGAAAGCAGGTTACCTCCAGCTAATGCAAAATGAGGTCTCATTATATAAGTGGAATGTGATTGGTCTGAGAGAGAGTCCATGTGGACTGGGAATAGAATGACTACTGTAGAAGGAAACACACTGATCTGGAGTTGTGACAACTGAATAAGACAGCATGGGGTTGCACCACTGATCAGGAAGCAGATTAGCCCCTACATGATAGCCTAAAAAACTGTCAGCAGCAGGTTGATGACCCTCAGATTGGTAGCCCATTCCTATCAGGTAACTGTTTTCCAGTGCTATGCCCCTACTAGTGACTGTGATGATGAAGAGGTTGAGAAATTCTTTAGAGACACTGAGAAACTAGCAATTGTTCACTGTACAGACATCTTATTTGTACAAGGTGACTGGGACACGCGCATTGGTCCTGAGAGTTACCCAGAATGGTGCAGCTGTGTTGGGAAGTTTGGGTATGGAGAGGCAAATGGCAGAGGACTGCAACTCTTGCAGGTTGTGACTGAAAATGACTTGGGGCTTGTCTACACAAACAATTAGTTTGCTGCAAGCTGGAGTGTGATGCTACCCTGCACTAGTCTGCCGTGGAGTAACTGTCCATGAGGACTCTGCTGATATGTATTAACAGTTCATTGAGTTTTGATTAGTCCCATTTCAAAGAGGACTAGTCAAAGTGCATTGATGAACTGTTAATGCACATCAGCAGAGTGCAGGGTAGATTCACACCCCAGCTTGGCATGAACTAAATGTTCATGTAGACAAGCCTTTAGTATTAACAAATACCTTGTTCAAGCACAGACTGTCAAGGTGATGGACTTGGACATCACTGGACTTGTGGACTCAGAACTAGATTGACTTCATCATGATCTCAAAGGTGGCATTCTGGCAGGATGAGGAGGCCAACAAGAGATTCGATGACAACTTAGTAGTAGCCAACATAAAGCTTAAACTGCGAATCAAGAAATGACCAGCAAGTACCTTCAGAGTTTGTTATAATGACAAACTGAAAGTCTGTGAAACACAAATGGAATTCAAGAAGACTGTCGAACAAAAGCTGCAAGTTGCTGACCTCTTCATTAGTAGCATAGATCAGATAGCGTACAACATCTCCTGCTACATTACAGAGACCACAGACGAACTCCTAGGAAACAGATTCTAAACAAGAAACCTTTGATCGTAGAGCAGATTATCAAGTTGTGCTCTTAGCTTTCTTTGCTGATCACACAAAGGAACACTGATGAAACTGCCAGAAAGCAATAGACCAGTATTCCAATATGACACAAGAAATAGGTGATCTGATTAAAGTGGCAAAAGTAGATTGGCTTGAAGAATAATGCATCAGCAAATGCCGACAGGAAGTTCTACCACACCATTAAGACTCTTTTTCAAAAAGTTTCTTTGGCAGGAGAAACACCATTTCACCCAACACTTGGGGTAGGTATTGCCAAGAGCTGTATAATGTTAGTGAAACAAATTCTAAGTTGGAAGTGAAAAAGGGAGAGGAGATCTATGAAAGAAGCTCAACTTATCTCAATGAACCTCCTCCTATGATTGAAGTTGAGATGCGGAGTGGACACTAAAATGCAGTAAAGCCCCTAGAGTCGATAACATGCAAGCAGAGGCACTCATCTGGGCGTATCATAAGCCTGTCAATGTGATTTGAGTGTCTGGAAGATGGCCCAAGACTTGGATACAGTCCAATGGCAACCCATGGGAGGGGGCCCGAAGGGTCACATGACCCTCCCCAAAATGCTGGGGGGCAAGGCCGGCAGCTGGGGAGATGAAGGGGCAGGGCCAGAGCTGGAAGGGAAGAGGCGGGGCCAGAGCCTCTCCTCTTCCGGCCACACTGACTGGTGTGTCCCTCCCACTAGTCGCCTCAATGGTTCCCATTCATAAAAATGGGGACATGGCTGTTTGTGGAAATTAGTGCACAATTGCATTATTGAAACACATTAGCAAATTACTGTTCCACATTATCCTGAAAAGAATTGCACCCAAGATAGAGATCTATCTGTCTGAAGAACAAGCTGTATTTAGTCCCAAAAAAGGTACAGTGGAGCAAATATTCAAACTGCATGTGCTATGTGGAAAAAGTGCTGGAGAATGATTGAAAGGTGGTTCCTGGTGGTTTTTTAGTGGATTTTGCTAAGGCGTTTGAAAGCATATGGCAGAAACCTCTTTGGGAAATCCTATGGCTGACCAGAGTTGGTGAAAATGTAGTAACACTGATTCAAAAACTATGGGTGTGTGATGGCTTAGGTGTTTGAGGCATGAGCAAAATAGTTGGTTTGACTTCAGGATAGGTGTCAGACAGGGCTATTTGGTATCCCCAACTGTTCTCTTGAAGAAATCTTAAGGAGACACTGGTGGAAACTTACAAGAGGGTCTGCCTGTCAGTGGATGAAAAATTAGTCATCGGTGCTTCATCAATGATAACCTGATTGGATTGTACCAAAAAAGGTGCAAAAATTGCTAGAAAGAGAAGCAGTGTAAGCAGAGAAGTTAGATTGGAAGATATCTGACACACAGACAATGGTGACAATGAAGTGTGTTGAAATATTTCTTTCCAATCTGAGGCGGCACTGGAGTGCATTGAGCATTTCAAATACCTGGTTGTATGACTACAAAGGATTCTAAACATCACATAGAGATCTGACACAACACTGGACTCATGACTGCCACTCTAGCGACACTCAGCCACATTTGGAGAAGCAAAGGGGTTACCATGAAGTGTAAAATGAAATTGCTGCAGTCTCTTGTCTTTAGCATCTTGCGATGTGCATGTGAAACATGGACTTTAAGGAAACAGGACATTGAGGCTTCCTGCCTTTGAACAGAAATGCTATAGATAATTGTTGTACTTCTCACATGACTTAGGAGGAGGTAATTGCCCAAATTTACAGCATGACCAAAGTGATACCTGATATCGAGATCAGATGAAGAAAACCTGAGTTCGTGGGACATGTGGGTAGAATGAGTGGAGAAAGATTGTTGAAGCAAGGCTTTCAGGGACTGGTCCCGGGGGCAGGAAGCACCCACCGTGAGTGTAGTTCAATGATGTGTCTGGGTGAGGTGTGGTATGGCATGCCTCTAAAGGCTCTGTGACAACTGCAAAACTCGGAGGAAGATTGCTGGCCAATGACTCTTGTGTGTTGTGTTTTACTGTGTATTGTAATGTGACTCTGTGGTGCTTTGCATCATGAGAGGATGTATGTGTGTTTGGTCACACCATCTCAGAGGATATAGTACAAATGGATAATGTGAAGGACAATGGAAATGATTAGAAAGGCAGAGAATCTTCTATGTGAGCAGAACCTAAAAAGTTTAGGGGGCAGATCCTCAACTGGGGTAAATTGTCAGAGCTATTGAAATCAATGGAGCTATGACCAATCACAGCAGCTGATGATCTGTCCCTGGGACTGTTTAGTTCACAGTTGACCAAGAGGGGCCTGATAGAGGTAGATAAAATGAATGATAAAAAGGTCAATTAAGCGCTCCTATTTAGCCTGTCCTTTCCCATAATATTGTGCAAAAGCAAGTGGACACCAAAGGAAATTAAAAGAGAACAAATTTATAACTGATAAAAAGGAATACATTTGCAGCCAATGAGTAATTAACCTTTGGCTCTAAGAGCCACATGATATTATTCAGGCAAAGAGCTCAGTAGGATTTGAAAAAGGATTATGTTTTATATGTATAATAAAAATATCATCAGTTACACTGGCTCAGATAGTAATTTATAGGGGTTGGCAACCTTATGCTTCAGGACATATGCCAACCACTGACTGCCTCAGGATAGGAAGAAAATTTTCCCATAGATGTGGCATTGCATAGTTTTTATGGAGATTCTTCACTTTCATCTAAAGCAGTTGGTGCTGGCCATAATCAGAGACAGGGTACTGAACTGGATTGACAATTTATCTGATCTGGTATGGCAATTTCTGTGTTCTTATAAAACATATGGTACCCATTTCCACTAAAAGCAATAGCTTTTGGAGGAAAGAAAAGAAATGTGCTAACAGCCATGCATTCAATAGTTACAGACAGACAAAATCCATGGATGACAGAGCAATAACATATGAGATTATGAACATTAACCAGTGAGTAAAATCCCCAAGAGAACCCTGTAAATGATTAGATGTTAGCACAAAATCCTGCGTTTAAGAGTATGTACCACACTGAGTGGAGGATCTCCAAGCCTTCCTGGCAGTACAGGGGAGGGAAGCCATGGTTACGAATTCTGTATAATACCCTACTGTTGCTCCAGGAGGAAGTAGCATAAAGTTCTTCTGGCACCTGCTGCTATGTAGGCGGGCTGGGGCCTCCAGCCCATGCAAGATGTTCTATGGCTCCTTTGGACCATAGAACATCTGTAGACATGTTAGCTGGGATCACAACAGTCCATATCCTTGTATCTGTGTAAGCCCTCAGAAGTGAAGGAGCTCTTGTGTCCTTTTTCCCTACCTGGCGCTCCTACATGAGAGAGGCCAGGATTTCATCTTTAGTAGATCAAATTCTGTCCTCTGTTACATTCATGTAAGCCCACTGACTGCAGCGTGTTTACACGGGTCTAACTAAGGCATTATTTGTATATAGGAATATAACATGCTCATCATGAACATGGTTTTTGGCTTTGGTAAATTTTGTGTTTTCCTATCTGCCCTATTAGTTAGTAAATATTTCTCTGCACAAAGGCCAACAAAGACTTTTTATTGTAATCAAATATAAAATACCAGACTCTTTTGTTCTAATGGTGAATGGCTAAAAACAGAGGAACCCCAAATTAGTTGTTAATTTTGAACCAAGGTAACTTGACTGTATCAGAGCTGACAGTGCAACCTAGTTCTCAGGACTCCTAGCTCTGAGCTTTAACCACAAGACTATCCTTTTTCCCCTGAAGTGTCTGACTTTGTCCCTCCTCAGAAATTGGATATCTGCCTAGATGGACAATTGATATAGCAGTTCCTGGGTTTTTAAGAATAATAACAAAAAGAGTATTTTGGAGAGAAAAAGGAAATATGAATAGTCCATATTCCACCTGAAGAGACAGTTTGAATTACTATAAGAAAACACATTGTAATTAAACGGGCAACAGATTAGATCAGCAGGTCTCATTGATGACCCTCTGCACCCTTGCTGATGGGTCTGTAGAGAGCAGGTTGGTCACACAATTCTAGCTCTCATCTTTGTTTCAAGCTGCTTGATTGCATTAAGAGAAGCTAAAAATACACTAAATGCTTCCCCAACGTTACTTTTCCAAGTAAGCAACTGCTGTTACATAACACCAGGATATTGTGGGATTAGAAATGGAATGGGATACAGTCTGTGCTCACAGAAGGGAGGCGAGCTGGTCAATGAGAGAATCCGTGTTAAGGTGTAGTTCACTCATGGGGGGGGGGGGGAGAATGAGAATACCTGGATTAGATGCAAAAATCAGGAAAGAATTATATAAACCATCATCAGTTTCCATAGTCTGTACGTTCCATTACTCAGTTTGCCATTATTGACAGAGCAAATGTCAACATGTTGATTTTATTTCTCACACTCAGTTCTAACAATTCCTGGTGGTGAAAGAAGTAGTAATGATCTAGCCAGGCATATTCTATTCTTTGTCATCCTAAAATCAACAGTGGGAATACCTCTGAAGAAATGTGCTCCAGTAGTCAAAAGCCTCATTGAAATTGAATTTGCTACCATGGAACTTTAGACAGGGACAAACTGAGCAGCAAAAAGTTTTCAGCTCAAGTGCTTTGAGAATATGGAAAATATTTACCGTTACAAACCATTCTTTGTGATAAAACAGCCTAACAGAGACTATTGCTGAAGTTTTCTGTGGCCTTACCCTATATTCAGATTATTTGATCTGTAGCTTCGTTGCATCACCATATAGCAGTTTTGGTACTGCATTTGTCAGTCTGAGCATCGAGTGTTCAGTAGTTTGGCATCTCTGTACCTAAGTGCCACTAGCTGAGAGATCTGCGGGCTTAAGAATACATGCAGGACTCATGACTCAGTACAAATGTGGAATGCTGAAGAGGGATGAACGTAGTCCTGGTGACTGGCTGCCTGGTGAAGATGATGTCACATAAAACTGTGGGTTGAAGTATCCTGTTGGTTTAGTGTGTGAGGAGGAAGGAGGGA